AAAAAAAAAAAAAAAAATCAGATACAGGCTCACAAATAAACGGTTTTATAAAATGATAAATTCTACATTTCAGTCTTTAAACCGTATTTTAATAAGAGGGATGAGCCAAAAGTATCAATTATAAATCAGTCATTAGGACTAGGAAAAAAAAAAAAAAAAAGTTTCACAAAATTATTAAACCAAGATTTACACATACTAAATCTCTCGCATTAGTGTTATGACATTTTAGCCCGATATTGCAACGATTTGCTTGACGTAGGGCATCGTGGGGATCCGTAAACGACAATGGGAGTTGGGACGCAAGTTTCCTTCATTTCAGCTCGTGTAGGGTGTCATAGTGGACAACAAAAATAGTGTAGTCTGAACCCGGCATTAACCCATGTTCTTGGTTTCATTACTGGTAGCTTTATACTTCAGTTCAAGGATTTCCCACTACTTTTGCTGCCAAGCTCCTGGAGAAATAAAAAAAATAATAAAAAATCCACACAGAAGTCTTGCTAAACAAGATTTATTTGGTGAACATAGACCTCAAATAAAGTTCCCAATGGTTAAACTGGCATGGTTAGCTGCATGCATGCACAGGTGGTTGGGCAACACTTCTGTCTGGCAGGATACTGATCATCATGGGAAGAGTTATCAGCACACATTTGGTTTGAGACATGGATCAGGCCTCACTGCATGGATAAAGATAGTTAGAATTAGTCTGTTCATTTAGATGCATTCAAACTCCTAAACACATCACAAAACACTCAAAGCATGAACCACAAGTTTTATGTTTAGAGCGAGTTGTATTCCAAGTATAATTAATCTTTATTTTGAAAAGCAATGTGCTTGAAAATGGTGCTATGGGCCAAATGTAGGTACTTTGCCACTGAAAATGATAAAATACTCAAAAACGGTGTGTGTTGGGGACCCAAGCATCAATATAACAAATACCTTTAAATGGAGGTGTACATTCACGTCCACATTTAGTGCTGCAGCATTTCTCATCATTTGGACAGTCAATGTCATTGACACACAACTTTTTACACAAACCTACTCCAAGGAATCTCCTTGGACACACTCCTGGCTTTTCTGTTATACAAACACAACAGGGAAACCAGATCACTGAATGCCTCACTGCATATATATATATATATATATATATATAATTAAAAAAATTTAAATATTGTTTTCACTATAGTTTAGGCCCTCTCTGGGCCCTGTTTAGGCCCTGACGGTTCCCCTCTCTGCCCAAACACCACCACTCATCTTGGTTGAGTTGGCAGTAATGATTGATGAGCTGGTCTTCTGGGTTCCAGCCACTGTGGTTAGCATTAGCATGTCCCGTTTGACGAATGGGCAGGCGAGCTCTGCTGCCCTGCACTACTCAATAATACTATTGCCCAGGAGAGCTGTGTCAAAAACGCAATTGAAATGGAAACCGATTCTGAAGTGGACTCTAACGTTTTTATGTGCCAGGAAAGAAACAGGGCAGGTCATTGAACAAGTCGCATTGACCCACATTACATCAGCAAGAGGGCTATTGATCTGATAATATAATCGAAGTTTGTGTCCATAAAGTTGCTATGAGGAGAGTTAAGATCCGGTCTTTATAAGCTTTACAAACCCAGTGGAACAGAAAAAAATGAACCTAAAGCAATTCAACCATTTAGTGATGGTGTAAACCGTGGAGCTCAAACACACAATCCTTAGACCCCGACACTCCCAGCTCTCTGTCGATGATAAGGTTTCGAAACGGTTCAGCCTCGCTGATTCAGTTATATTTGAGGCTGATTATATTTATTTATTTTCGAAATTGTCACAAACTTAAGACTGGTGGCACTCTAAAACAGAAAAGGAAAAAATAGCTCTAGGGAAATTATAGATTTAACGGTCTGTTAGACCCCGACACTCCCAGCTCTCTGTCAATGATAAGGTTTCGAAACGGTTCAGCCTCGCTGATTCAGTTATATTTGAGGCTGATTATATTTATTTATTTTCGAAATTGTCACAAACTTAAGACTGGTGGCACTCTAAAACAGAAAAGGAAAAAATAGCTCTAGGGAAATTATAGATTTAACGGTCTGACTGCGCTTTAGGGTGAGTTAAAGTGCGCACGCTCAGGCCATAATGAATTACTCATTGGAGTGTGTTACAAGATTGACAGCGTTAAAGAGATTTATGTTTGTGATCCACTGCGATTATGATGAGATCAGACCAAGCAAATCAGGGATTGGAAATGAAGATATCACATTTAACACGAGGCAGTGCTGCCACAACTTTAAAAGCGTTCATTAAGACTTGTAAATTAGGAACATGATTTGTGAGTTCATCAAATTTATGAGCTTCCTGTCTTGTATATGAAATACAAATTGAGATGCAGTGTTGATGTTTATTTATTTATTTATTTTAATTGTGATTGACTTGTATTTTTTTTTTTAAAGAAACATTTCAGGTTCAATACAAGTTCAAATCTATCAACTGCATTAGTGGCTGTATTTCCACGGTTCATTTGATGTTTCATATTTATAATGCATATATTAAAAAAATGTGTTTTATATAACATATGTATTGTAAAGGATACAATAAATGAGGCTACAAGTGAGGCTACATTTATAAATACAGTAATAATTACTATTTAAAATAAGTGTTTAATATATTAATCTATTTTAATAATCTAATAACATGTATTTTTTAATTAATTTATCTATTTAATTAATCTATCTACTAATCTATTAAAGAAAAAAAAAATCCTGTGATTGCAAAACTGAATTTTCAGTAACCATTAATTGTCTCCATTCTTCAGTGTCACATGATCATATATATATATATATATATATATACTGTAGAGAGAGAGAGAGAGAGAGAGGCAGGAAATTGTTAAAAAATATATATAAATATAATAATTACATTTATATAATATAATCATATTTTATTACATATTTTATATATTAAATTAATAGGCTATATTTTATATTTCTGTTGTACTGTTTAACCAACTATCCAAATGTATTAGTTGTTCTCTGAAATCTGTGACAATTTGTATTAAGTTCCTTTTTTTTACTGAATGTGTTTTATTGAGGCAGACATATGCACTGGTCTTGTTATTGCAGTCTCTCAATGTTCTACAATGTCTATTTGTGGACAGAAGATCACAGATGAAGCTCCTGAGGTCCACTAGATGAGGCATTTGGTCCCTGAGGGACAGTGAAGACTATGAACATGCTTTCTGTGTTTCAGATCATGTTGCTGACAGATCCAGAGGTGGAGAGCAGTTTGCTCATCAGCTCAGATGAAGGCGCAACCTATCAAAAATATCGCCTCAACTTCTACATCCTCAGCCTGTTGTTTCACCCTGAGCAGGAGGACTGGATCCTTGCCTATGGCCATGACCAGAAGGTGCAGAATCATTTCAGCTAAATCATATAGCAAACAGCATCTAATTATGGCACACAGCTTTCAGCAAGTCACCGTTCATGCGGTTCTCTAATTATCAAGCTGTTTTATTGCCAAATATAACCAAATACAAGGAAGCCAAAGGAAAAAAAAAAAATAATTTATAGTATTTGCATACTGTATAAAGAACATTTTAGGCACAAACTGCAGAGCAAGACATAATAATAATGAAAGCATGTGTGCAAATGGATGCTAATCTGTATTTAGGCTTGAAATATGTCCTTAGAAGGCAATTATCAATGCAAGAGGAAATACGTCTTAAAGAGACAATTTCAGTAAGCTTAAAGTTGGCAGTTAAGACAATTTATGCATCCCGAGTCACAGGGAATTATCATTAATTATATGGTTTCAAACTCATGGTTAGGGCTAATAAATTATGATTTTTTTTTTGTATTATCCTGAAAAGAGTGTTTAAGCATCAGATTTAATCATACCAAAATATAATTTAACTAGTCAAGATTTTTTTTTCTTTTTTTTTTTTTTCCGCTGTGCAACTGATGAATCATTTTAATTCCTTCCCTTTTTAATTTTGGATTAGATTCATTCATGAATGAAATATTTATTTATTTATTGCTACTCCTTGAAGTGGATTTAAATGATATAACAAATTGTTCCCCTAGGGAACTCACTCTGCGTCCTCTAGCGGACACACTTTTATGCTTACGGGTGCCCGCCCGTGACGTCACGGGCTACGTAGGCCAATGGTATTGAGTTATTTCACACGTGCTTCAGACACTGGTTCTGCTGGTGGCAGTCCCTATAGTTTCCACTAGAGGATGCAGCATCTCATGGCCTCTTGTACAGTATAAATGTGTAGTATATTAAAAAAATAAGATTTTCTTTTCAAGCATGTCAAAAAAACTTCAAATTCAAACAACACAAATTGTCACAGTGACACGCAATATCATCAAATGATGACTGTTTCAAGTCTCAAGTGATGTTGTTAAACAGCTTTGACTTCAATTTTGACAAATCAACATTGATTTCACCCTTGAAAGAGGGTCAATGAGAATGAATTACAATTAAATGAAAACAATCAAAAATAATTATCAGCCAATTGAAGGCTAATAGTAGACTGTTTGCACAATTTGCATGACTAGCCACGGCTGAAAGACGCAAAAGCAAATGACATAAAAAGAAAACACAATCACTAGTGTAATTAAACCCTATTCAAATCAATGCCACAAATAAATGCATAATTTATTAGTGTTGACACTTTTACTGCCTTAATGTCATTGGCAAGGTTCCTGAATTATTATTTTTTTTTTACGATGACAGTAAACATAGAGGAGACGAGCTAAAATGAAAAGCTTAGTAACCTTCAACACGTTTGTGCTTCCCTGCTGCAAATAAATAAATAAATAAGTAACATTGAAGAAAAAAAAAAGGATTTGTTTTCAGCAGGGCTGTACTCTTGGATTCTGTCTAATTTGGTTTAGTTTGATGCAGTTTGATTTGTTCCTTTGGTTTCCCATAAGTCATAATGTCTAAATATGACCGAGCTCCATCCACCCACAGTCAGGATGTTATACTGGATATGAGATTGTGATATCACAGTTCTCAACTGATGCAAATTCAAGTGCTACATTGAACATTGATTGAACAGTAATTTTTATCCTCTATTTAGTGAATTTAAGATCTCAGTGTTTGTTCTCTTGCTGATTGCCAATTTTCCACTGTAATTATACTAATTTTGAAATTATCATTTTAAGATTTTATTTTATTCTGTGTTTTATTGGAAAGTCGTTCATCATTTTAATCGCGTGGTTCCAAAACCTGGTTAGTTCCCTATAGGCAGCATTTTAAGGCTTCTTATGCATGCTTATGATGCAAATTCTGTTCCCAAAGCTTGACGGCTTAATTATGCAGACTTCTAAGATACCTTGTTTTGGATAAATTTTAAGGCAACATCACCTACTTGCAGAAGACAGTCACATAATTACACACAAGCAAAAAAACAAACAAAAAAAAAACAATTCCATTTTAATGTTTGGTGTTGGTAAGACTTTTTGAAAGAAATCTCTCATGCTTATGTAAGGGAAACAGGTCAATTTAGCTCAAAGGTCTGTCTTTTACCATCCAAATTCTAGTCATTTAGCACCAGGATTTTGTTTTTTGAGGACATTTTAGTGTGAGATTTTTGCATAAGCACAATCAAAGTGGGACAGAGCGAAGACATCAGAGAGTCAGCCTGGAGTACCGTTATTTTTAGGCTGGTAATGATCTATCCTCACAAGTTCCCCTCTATGAACCCTCACATGGAGTCTTATTATCTGAAGTGAGATGAGACATATAACCCTTACAAATGTGTAGCTATTGACTATGTGAAATTAGATTGTCTCCTTTGATGAGATACACCACTATAGTCACAGTATATGAGATGATTGAAGAAATGGAGCTTTGAATGGATGAAATGGACTTTTGTACCTGTGAGCGCTTCAAAAGCAACTCAGATCTGATGCGGCTCATTTCTAGCCTAATACCCAAAGTCTTGGTGGAACTGAACAGGTCAGAACTCCTTTGCCTTCACCTTCTCAACTGATCTGAAATCGAAACCTTAACAATTTTCTTTGAAATTGAACTGTTCTTGTGAGTAAGGAAGGTTGTAGTATAATGAAATTTAACTGAAGGTACCTGAACAATCTTGGTTGTGAATCAGGTAAAACAAAATTAATACTGATATGCTTGCATTGCCTGGTTATAACACTCTCTTTTTTGCTGTGGGTTATACTGGGAAATTACTGCTAACTGTTGAATATGCAATATCATAAGCCTAATTTAAATATAATGGGAGCGTGTTTGCACTGAAACAAAATGGGAATGGCTTTAAACACATCACCATGTCTGTCACCATGTCAACTGACGGGTTTCCGAAAGTTAAAATCCCATTCATTTTCTCCATAGTGGAATTGATTGTGAACGATAATTTACCTTTAAAGACAGACTTAAATGAACTATAAGGTTGTTAATCAGTCATCAGCCCACATTCTGTCAACTTATGCATAAATAATTGTGTTCAACAGCAGAATTTCTGGTGACAACTACATTACCCATGATTCTGTGGAGAAATCCCCACCAATCATAGAATCGCAACAAGTAAATTGTGCCAAAGTAACTCTTTAGCCCCACCTACTTCCATGAAGCACTGCAAATTACATAATAATTATTTTGTCATAAGCATAGAATATATTATTTCTATATATAATCAAGATATTTAAATCAATTGTTTTATATGTCTCCATCATTTTTAATTTGATTATGTCATTCACATTGTGTCATTAGTAGTTCTTTCCCTCATTAAAATCATTAAGTACGTATCTTTTTGTCGAGTTTTCAAATACTTTTTTGCTTCAAATCAAAGTTTGTAATGTTGTGATTCACCTCGTAGCTCGTTGGCCAAGGCTGCATTTACTTGATAAAAAAAATTGGAAATATTATCACAGTTAATTGTACTTAAAGGGATACTCCACCCCAAAATGAAAATTTTGTCATTAATCACTTACCCCCACTCTTCTGTGTCAGCCGTGCCAAACGAATGCGCTGTTTTCGTTCAAATCAAAGTGTAAATACGCATAGAAAACGTATTCTTGTGTCGCGGCTGACACAGAAGAGCGTACGTTGCTTGCGTTTAGTGGATATTCTCCAAAATGGTGCTACAGGGTTGTGGAGAGACACAGAGGAGACGAATTGTTGAATAAAGTCGTTATTTTTGTTTTCTTCGCATACAAAAAGTATTCTCGTCGCTTCATAAAATTCAGATTGAACCACTGATGGCAGATGGACTATTCTGACGATGTCTTTCATACTTTTTTGGACCTTGACAGTGTAATTTACTTGGCAGTCAATGTGACAGTCACAAGCCTCCCGGTTTTCATCCAAAATATCTTCAATTGTGTTCCAAAGACGAACGAAGCGTTTAGCGGTTTGGAACGACATGGGGGTAAGTGATTAATGACAAAATTTTCATTTTGGGGTGGAGTATCCCTTTAAAGGGACAAAAACACTTTTTTTTTAAATTGCCATTCGTGCCGTTTGTTTACTTAAACAGGTGGTTATGTCTTAAATAAATGTAAACAGTTAGGAGAAAATCGGATGTGTATCAGTATATTAGATCTGTGCATTAGGTCTTAGCAGCCTTTAAACCTGCTGCTTTCTGTCATTAATGTTAATTGAAGGGGTCCTATTATGCTCTTTTACAAAGTCTTGATTTTGTTTTGGGGGTGTACTAGAACATGCTCTCATGCTTGGTGGTTCGAAAAATGCATTATTTTTCACATAATTTGCATTATTACAATACCTTTCTCCCCTGCCTGGTACAAACGGCTCGATTAGTTTCGGGTTTGATGAAGGCCCGCCTTCCGAAAAACGAAATGTTTTGTGATTGGTTAGCTGTCCCAGTGCGCTGTGATTGGCGAACAGCTTAGACAGTGTTTCATTACTG